CCGGGCTGAGCTTGCCATCATTAAATTCTGTCAGGGACAGAGATTTCCTGAAGAGCTAGCCAGTCTGGAGAAAGGGCAACATATTAAAATATCCAGTCACCTCCATAAACTCTGTCCACAGCTGCAAGATGGAATCCTGAGAGTTGGTGGTCGTCTCTGTAGGTTGGCTATGCCTGTGGAAGTTAAACACCCTATAATATTAACAAAAGATCTTCACATTTCAGAACTCTTGCTGAGACATATCCATCAGGAAGTGGGGCATGGTGGACGGAACCATATGCTGTCCAAATTGAGGGAGAAGTACTGGATAACTGGTGTCAGTGTAGCCATAAGGAAAGTACTGTCCAAATGCATCGTCTGTCGCCGTCTAAATGCTCTGCCAGTTTACCAGCAAATGGCAGACTTGCCACACGAAAGAATAGTCCCAGATGAACCACCATTTACTCGAGTGGGAGTGGACTATTTTGGACCTTTTGAGGTTAAGAGCCGAAGGAGCATGGTAAAGCGGTATGGGGTTATATTTACCTGTCTTGCCATCAGAGCTGTACACCTTGAGGTTGCTCCATCATTGGATACGGACTCATTCATTAATGCACTCAGGCGTTTCATTTCCAGAAGGGGACAGGTGCGAGAGATCCGTTCAGATAATGGAACTAATTTTGTAGGTGCAGAACGTGAGTTGAAAGCTGCCATTAAACAGTGGAACCAGGGGCAGATCAATGATCTTTTGCTGCAGAAGGGAATCAGATGGAGTTTTAACCCACCGGCTGGCTCTCATCATGGAGGATCATGGGAGAGGTTAATAAGATCAGTGCGTAAAGTCCTTAATTCAATGTTTAAGGTGCAAAACCTGGATGAAGAAGGTCTTCACACAGTGCTCTGTGAGATTGAAGCCATCATCAACAGCCGTCCAATCACCAAGGCTTCCATGGATCCAAATGACCTGGAAGCACTAACTCCAAACCACTTGTTGCAGTTAAAGACTTCACCATCATTACCCCCAGGGTTGTTCCAACCGACAGACATGTATGTACTTAGGAGGTGGAAACAGGTACAATACATGTCCGATCTATTCTGGAAGAGATGGGTTAAGGAATACTTACCTCAGCTACAGGAGCGTCAGAGATGGATTGGAGTTAAGAGGAACCTCGTTGTGGGAGATCTTGTGATCATTATGGACAGCACAGCTCCTAGAAATTCTTGGCCAACAGGTCGAGTGATCCAAACCTTCCCAGACCGAAGAGGATTTGTCCGTCAAGTACGGATTAAAACAAAAACCAGCTGTTTGGAAAGACCTATTACCAAGGTCTGCTTGCTGCAGGAGGCTGAGTTTGATTAAATATGAACTACAGTTAAATTATTTTCTTTTTTTTTTGATAATGCCTTTTGTGGATTATTTTTTTTGCTTTTTTGTGGATTTTGCCATTAGGAGACAAAGAAGAAAAGTATGGACATTTTACTGTTGGACTTTACAGTTGAACTTTTGTGTGTTTGATTTATGTCTCCTATCTGTAATTTTGGATAATTATTATGTGGTGATCTAATAATTAGGGGCTGGTGTATAGGAGCCATATTACTTTTCATTTAATTATAATGTTTATTTGTATACTGATTGGTTTGGGTTTCACAGTGACGTTTTATGTTTTGGTCACGTGGGCATAATTGGCACCTGCTCGAACATAAAGCGCGTGCACAATCACACAGGTGAGGAGGAGAGAAGGAGAGTGGGGTAGCCGTATTTTTTGTTGACCGCAAACAGCAACGCAAACAGCCACGCAAACAGCAGCGCAAACCAAGCAACGCAAAACTGTATCACAACGGCACACGCAACAATCATCACACCAACGCAATAATCGGCACCATACAAAACAGGTATTCAAAGACACAAATTGCTGTATTGTTTTTTTTCATGCTTCAAGTTACATAAAGTTTTCCATATAACATCTTGGGCTCAGTGTCTCTGTCTAAAGCCACCAGCGCGTCACAAATATAAAGGACCCTCACTGCCTCTCGAGCGACTTATAGGAGGCATCAGGAAGTCGCAATAACCCGTCATCTGGCAGCTTTGAATAAACTGCAGAAAAATAACCAAAACTAATGAATCATAAATTAACTATTTTATCTTAAGCCAATGAAGATACTGCATTAAATCTCCAAGGGAATGCATTATAATGAAGATTATTGCTGCACGATATTGGAAAAAAAAACTGACATTACAATATTTTTATTCACTGCCATATATATATTGCAATATAAATGCAATTTCACCAGATCACTTGAATAGTTTGTTAAGAATTCATAATTTAAGATCGATTGGGATGATTCTATGAAGCATATTTGCATTAAATATAATTTAAAAATTAAAAGTACAACAGACAAAATATGCAAATAAACAATGTTTTATTATCTTCTGGGGAGTCAAACAGTATTCAGAAGCAGAAATTAAATAATCACTGTATAATATAATAATAATATCACAATATCCGCAGGGTCTTAAATTTCAAAAACTATATTGAAGGCCTTAAACAGTCTTAAATCTACTGAAAAACTGTGTTATAGGGCTTAAATCTTTTTTAACAGGTCTTAATTTTCCTTTGTTCAAGTATTGCTACCCAATCTGGCCATTAACACCCATACAATCACCAGCAATTCCAGTCTCAGTTACTTTCCTTACAGTAACATTTGTTTAAAACTACTCCATTTGTTTACAGCAGAAGATACTGACCTGGCCTACATATATTATTATTATTATTGTTGTTGTTTTATGTGAATGTATTCAATTATAATAATATTTTGTCATGGCAAGTGAAGATCTTTTCCAACTGGGATATTTAAATAAAATCCTTAGCATTTAGCCCAGTATAAGTCTAAAATTTCATTCATAATGGTCTTAAAAATGTCTTAAATTTAACTTGGTGAAACTTGCAGAAACCGTATTACCACTGTATCATTTTAATTACACAAAAAAAAAGATGTCTACAAAACTGTTGCAAACAATTTTATATGTGTTGATTTTAAACAAACTAATTTAATTTAGTAAATTAGTAGTTTAGTAGTCAACCCAATTTTAAATTCCGCCCAAATAAATAGTTTACAACCACTAACTTAAAAAAAAATAGTAAATCCAAGGAGTCATCTTTGAATCATTTTTAAAGAAATTATATAATGTTCAATTAATCTTGAAGCTACAAACTTTTAATTTATTGTGCCCAAATGGCTCAAGTTTGATTCAAACTCTAACAATCAGGCCTTAAAAACAAATGCAAATAATAAACTTTCACTCTAAAGTTAAAATGTGAATTACTTTACTATGTTGTAATTGTAATATCTGATCAATTACAATCTTAACTACATTGCAGACCCCTGCGATGTGACTATTGCAGACTTGCACATTCTATATCGATGCTGAAACGATATATTGAGCAGCCCTAATGAAAATACACATCAATTTACCATAAATAATGTGACTCATTTTGAGTAAACAGTGATTTTTGGTTGCATTGATGTAGTCCAGGGGTGCCCAAGCTCAGTCCTGGAGGGCCCCAATTAAACACACCTGAACCAGCTAATCAAGCTCTTTCTAGGTTAACTAAAACTTCCAGGCAAGTGTGTTGAATGAAGTTGACTATGCAGGGCACTGGCCCTCCTGGACCCCTGATTCAGTTTGTATCAAGTTCTCCTGTCATCCACTATGAAAAGTTAATTATAAATAATTATTGTAACAAATAATTAATTAACGATAAAGCCAGATTTGTCTATTAAAGGGATAATTCACCCAAAATTTACAATTCTTGTCATCATTTACTCATCCTTCACTTGTTCCAAACCAGTTTGACTTTCTCTCATCTGTTAAACACAAAAGAAGATATTTTATTTTCACTTTGTCCTTCAAAATATTTTCTTTTGTGTTTCAAACCATTTGAGGGTGAATTAATTGTGATTAAATTTAATTTGGGAGTAAACTATCCATAAGAAAGTCAACAGGGTCAATATTGAGTTCGTGTTTTTAGTTCACTGTCAGTGAACAACCATAAGATGGCGCTATTACACGCAGCTTCACCCCGCTTGATTGACAGATAAAGCAACCAATCAGCAGTGAGATGCGGGCGGGAGTTGTACTATTGCACAGAGTTGCATAAGCAGCCACTCTAACCCAAGGCAAGCTAAAGCTAACATAGTTAGATCAACTTATTATCTGACCCATTTATTCTTAATTGAAGTGTCATCTTTCAGGTTTATAAATCATTCAACAGCCCTTAGGCTCTCTTGTGAGAACATGAAGTTTCAGTTTTTGCATTGTATTCTAAGCTTGTGCCATTTCATATTTTATAACATGTGCAATCTGCATATTCATGAACTAAGTTGTAGCAGCTCAGCATATAACACACACACACACGCACACACATACACACAGTTAGAGTGTTACTAAAGGTGTTACATTAGCCTACATTTCAGATTGTGGTCACATGTCTGCTGACGTGGGGATTGAGTCAGACTCTAAAATTAGCCGGCAGTATAAACACACTTCACATCCTCTTTCTGAGCTCACACACACAAACACACACCGACTGCTGCCGGCATGGGTAAATGCTGAACTTTCATACTTTTAAACACTTGATGAATCTAAATTTAGACCCCTTTTAACCGTAATGCAGAGGGCGTGAGTTTATTATTCCGATTTTGTCTTTAATGTCACTTTGAATTGAAGACAAGACTAGAATGAATGCAAATAAGTCTAATATATACAAATAATACTAAAATTTAGCTTTAAATGGCATTTAAAGACATATATAAGAGCATAAAAAGTCTCATACGACCATTTTGTTTGAAATTATATTATAAAATTGTATTTCTAAAAAGTTTATCCAGATATTTCTTATATTATTTACTCAAATAAACTAATAATTTGACCAACAGTGCTAAGTGAAGCATCATGTAGTAGATTAAATCCTGTATCTGGTTTCATCTAATATAATCATAAAGTAAGCAGGACGCATAAATCAACAATGATGTCATTGCTCCCTCTTGGGAATTTGCATATTCAGCACTGAAATAGCAGACAGTGATGTCATTTTGCATCGTGACTGAAACCACCAGTTTCTGACCACACACATCTGAAACCCAGCGGCCTTGAAGAAAAGAATCAGTCTGATGTGAATGACTCTTACCAGCTGAAGATGCTCTTGCTGAAACTGATCCCCCATTTCACGTAATTTACGTCCAATCTGGACCTCCACGCTAATCCCTGCGTCGCGATCCTCTTCTTTTTCTTCTGGTCTGCCTTCGTCCTGCTCTCTCTGTTCGGCGTTTTGTAAGCCATCCAGGGCGGGTTCGAACAGCGCAGGGAAGTGTGCACGAAATCCAGCGTTTCCTTTAAAATTAAAACAATGTTTACATTATTTTGGTGTATCAAATTATAATTGTGTTTATTAATATATTATTATTGTTTTATATTAGCTTAATATAATATTATATAATAAATAATAATGAATATAATAATATATAATATATTGAATGATCAGCTTTGTATAAATTTATAATTATTTATGTATGATGTAATATTTTGTCAAAAATATTCTACTTTTGGAAAATACATTTAAAATTTGCATTCCTAAAAAATGTTTTATTAATGGATATAAAAATATCAACATTGCATTAACGTTATAATAACATATCGTTAGTCATTACTAAATAATGCACTTAAAATTTGCATCATTTTATTAATACTAATAAAAACAATAATAATATAAGATTGCATTAACATAATAACATTTTATGTCAGTACTGAAATGCTTTTAAATGTTGTATTTCTAAAATAATTATTGTATTTATAGTAATAAACACAGAAATAATATAACTGCGTTAAAATTATAATAGTTTCTCACAGTGTTTCTCAACCACGTTCCTGGAGGACCACCAACATTGCATGTTTTGGATGTCTCCTTTGTCTGTCACACCCATTACAAGTCTTTCAGTCTCTGCTAATAAGTGGATGATGTGAATCAGGTGTGTTTGGTTCAGGAGACATGGTAAATATGCAGAGCTGGTGGTCCTCCAGGAAAATGGTTGGGAAAAACACTGATTTATAACATGCATTTAAAATTAGTAGATCTAAAAGTGTATATTTTATTAATAGTAATTAGTGCTGTCAAATGATTAATCACATCCAAAATAAAAGCTCATATTTACAAAATATAATTGTGAGTATCGTGTATGTTTTTGTGTATATGAATATATGCAGGACTATATTGTATAGAGTGCTTGTTTATATTCATAAATATTTATTCATTCATTTTCATTCGGCTTAGTCTCTATTTCAGAGGTCACGACAGCTGAATGAACCACCAACTATTCCAGAATATGCTTTACGCAGCGGATGCCCTTCCAGCTGCAACCCAGTACTGGGAAACACTCATACACTGTAAACAATGTTGGGTTCCACACATTTTCTTCATGTTGTACCAACACAAATGGTTTTATGTACAATATGTTCAATCCAGTTAAATTTGCAAAAACAATTAAGTTGTCCCAAAACAAAAATTCAAGAATTGTGTTGATTTTGCTCAATTTAAATAATAATAATATGAACAACTGGCAAAAAATAATATTTTGAGTGTACACTACGGACAATTTTGTTTATTCAATTCACCTATACCGCATGTCTTTGGACTGTGGGGGAAACCGGAGCACCCGGTGGAAACTCACGCCAACACGAGGAGAACATGCAAACTCCACACAGAAATGCCAACTGCCCCAGCTGGGACTTGAATCAGCCACCATAAATATTTATATGTAATACAAATTATATATAAATGTATATTTGAATATTTATTTAGTATATTAAGTACAGTATGTGAGTGTATTTATATATATATATATATACAGTATACACGTATATATTATGTAAATACAAACTTTTATCTTGGATTCAGTTAATCACGATTAATCTTTTGACAGCACTAATAATAATAAAAAACAATAATAATAATATAACATTGCATTAACATGACATTTTATTAGTTATTACTAAAATGCACTTAAACATTTGTTTCTAAAATGGTATATTTTATTAATACTAATAAAATCAATACTAAAACAAATATTATAACATTAAAATAACATTTCATAAGTAATTTCTAAAATGTATTTCAAATAAGTATTTTTTTTAAAGAATATTTTTATTAATATAATTAAAAAACAGCAATAATGATGACAATATAACACTAACATTTAGACATTTTAAAATATTTCTTATATGATGGGTAGCAGGGCAAGGAATTTTTCACAGTATTTCCTATAATATTTTTTTTTTCTGGAGAAAGTCTTATTTGTTTTATTTCAGCTAAAGTTAAAAGCAGTTTTTGATTTTTTTAAAATGATTTTAAGGTCAATATTATTAGCCCCCTTAAGCAATTTTTTGTTGACAACAAACTATGATTATACAGTGATTTACCTAATTGCCATAACTTTACCCCGTGTTAACTTAATTAACCTAGTTAAGCCTTTAACTGTGCCTTTAAGCTAAATACTAGTATCTTAAAAAATATCTAATAAAATATTATGTACTGTCATTATGGCAAAGATAAAAGAAATCAGTTTATTAACTAAAACTATTACATTTAAATGTGTTGAAAACATTGTCTTTCCCTTAAACAGAACAGCTCAGGGAGCTTAATATTTCTGACTTTAACTGTAATGCCATACTCATGGAAATGATGCCCTTTGTGTTTCCCTACCATGAAAAAGTGCTCTTGGCCCACCCCGGGCTCCGGGGCCCATAGTAAGTGACACAAGGCCCCCAGTTCCACAGGGAGCCCTGAATGCAGTCCTAGCACCCACAACTCTGCAAAGAGATGATGCTTCTCTCTGTGAGCCCTGGAATGGTGCCATATCTGCGTCTCTCGCTGAATTGAGGACAGAGCCAGCAGTCTGTGTGGATGCGTGTCTGTGAGCTGTTTGTCCCACGTCTCCACCGTGGGCGTCTCTCTTCTCGGAGCGCTTGTTTCTTAGCGGCGTTTCACAGCAGCGAGGAAGCTGTTCATCCTCCTCATCATCCATCGGCGGAGTCAGCAAAACCGCCCTGAAATATATCACAGATTATTCCACTGTTTCGTTGCTTCTGATTTAAATGAAGAATGAGTCTATGGAGAGTTTAGTTTTGACAGGCTCTGTTATTGTTTGTAGTTCACTGATTTGGCATCAGTAGCAATGGTCCACATTGGGGCAGTGCAATAAGATGATATATATCGAATGAACACAGAAAAAGTCTATTGTTTGATATTATGCACTATTGTTTATTTTGTTGTCACAAAGTACATAATATCTTTAAATATTTTATATGAGCGCAATTTTACATCATTACGGGCATGCAAACAGAATAAAAGCATTGTGAGAAAGTCGCAATCTTGAAAGTGCTTTGTTTGCATTTCGCATTTTACTTAGTAATATTTTTTATTTTATGTTGGACTTGTAATAAAAGTGCTTAATATTTTATTAATATTTATTTTAGTCACACATTTTTAATCAAACATTTGCCACGAAGTTCTAAATAAAGTGAGAAATGTGATAATCACATATGAATGAGGACATTTTATACATTAAATTATTAAGAAATTGTTAATTAATAATTTAATTTAAAATTAATTATTATTAATGTATTATTATTTAATTTACAGAAATTGTACTATATCATGATGCTATATAATTATCAGGATATGAGATGATTTATATCGTGATATGAGATTTTTGTAATATCACCCAACCCTAGTTTACGTTGGATATTATGTGGCAACACAATGCAACAAAAATTAAATATTTAAATGTATTATCTATTTATTAATTATCTACCAACATGTGCATATAAACTTGTACCAAATTATGGGGGAATAGGCATATTTATTTTTCCATCCCATAATAAGCACAGCAATATGATTGGTTGCTGCTTCTGATAACGTGCACATAGCAATGTTTTTCCTCTTTCTTCAGTTCGCATCAGTGTGTGATCTGATGCAAGTGCTGAATCCCTTAAAAAAGCTCACCCACATTTCACAACCATGACTGATTTAGATGCTTACGACTGATTTAGATGCTTAAATACACCCTGTATTTGATTTAACAATGAACAAATAAAACCTGATAGTAGATCAGCGATTACGTGCAACTTCTGGCAAGTGCACAGGGTGATGACTAAGATGGTCACAAGCAAAACCACCAAAAACGTCAAATGCCAACATTTCAAAGGAGCCTCAAACAAACTAGAGGAAGTTTCAGGCCTTTGCTGAAGGTTTCAGTCTGCTGTCGTTGTTTCCCAGAAAGCACTACAATTCAAACCTGCACTATCATAACAAAACAAATCAGCTTATGAAGTCTGCTCATGAATAATCTGATCAGCTGAGAGTTGCAGAGCAGATTAGTGCAGATGCCATCATGATGAGAATAGTTGTTTATAAAATGGAGCGTCTACAGCCAAATTAGTCAAGTTTACAGATTGCTCGAGAGGGTTTTCAGACATGAACAGATGTCTAATTAGTTTGCAGTGCATAAACGCTCCAGTCAACAAAACAAACAATCATTTAAAAAACTCATTACGAGCATAGTTCTGAGGTATGATTCTGTTAATAGATGGACTATCATAGGTGATTATTGAAGATTACACTGTTAACTATGCAGATAAAACAGTCTGAGATGGTTTGAGGTTTTAGATGGACTCTTGTTTACCCTGGTTTATTGGAGGGGGATTAATCAAAGATCATCCTGACCAGTCTAAAATACCATCATAAGCCATTTTTATGATGTATTTCACTATTACTACTATTTTAAGCTCATTTAAGCAGGTAATACTAAAAGCAAACCATTTAAAACATATGCCACGAGGTAATACCATAGTAAAATTGAGGTAAAGTTGATTTTATATCATAGTAAAATTGTGGTAAAGTTAATTTTATACTCAAACATTCAGACTTTCCCCTTAATAAATTAATTTTGGCTGAGAACTGCACATTCTGAATAGGGGAATCATATTAGCAGCCAATGACTATCAAAGTACACATTGTTCTCAGTCAATGAAATAGCGCTTATGTTGTTTTAAGTCATACCTACATGTGATTTCAGACTTCATATATAAAGTACCATGGTAAACAATATAGGGAGCATGTCACGAGTTGTCACTGAACGAACGTGCGAATATAAAACCAACTTTACCTCAATTAACGTAGTAAAAACACAATATCAAGACAAAATGAGACTTCTTTATATGATATTTGACGTTAAAATTACATTGAATATAAATATCTAAATGAATATGTCAGATTTGGATCTTTATTTTGTACTTTAACACTTCAGTCACTTTATTTCAGATAAAATCACTGAAACTTTCTTTATTACTAATAAACTCACATGTTCTTTCAAACGCCTGCTTTGTAGAATGAAACTGCAGCAAATAAGACAGAAACTCACCGCCAGTGCTTGAATATGTGTCTGTCAGTGCTGTATTTATTCCGCTTTTGTGTCAGTGCTCTTTTATTCCGTCTTCACTCGGTTTTGTATTTACTAACACGGACTCGCTCCGCTTTCATTCTGCGCCCTCCGCCGAAAACCACGCCTACGTGGCTGACGTCAGGTGATGATATGCTAATTACGCTAAAGAGGCGGGAGTCGAAGGGTTGTTGGTGCCCGAGGGAAAGGTCAGTCAGGGTTTGTGTGTTGGGTCTGTCAGTCTCATTTTAACTACAAACGCAGCATTTCGCTCGATGTGTCATATCAAAAGTGTTGGAATTAGTGTCAGTGGTTTTAAATTGGTCGTCGTTTTGATGTTAGGTTTATTGAGATACTTTTAAAGAACTTAATACGACCGAAATCGTCTTAAAGTGACAGTACACTCCAAAATGAAAAGTTAATTTTCTCACTCTCAAGACATCCATTTAAGATTTATTTTAAGATAAAAAAAAAAATAGTTTTAGCTGAAAATGTGGTCCTTGGTGATTCATAAAATGAAAGTTTTTTGAACTTTGAAAGTGTTAAAACATGAGGTAAAGTTGGTTTTATATTCACACATTTGGACTTTCTCCTTAATAATATAATTTCAGTAAAGTATTCTTTGCAAAATCTAATATTAGCTGCCAATGACTATCAAAGTAGCCTACAACAATGTTTACAGTCAAATAAATAGGGTATATGCAGAGCTAGTGTTTCTTCCCATACTGATAAACCGGTGAACAGTTAACGTTAATGTGACTTTTTTCCATTTTATATGGTTCCTTTTACAGCATCGATGTTGTAATGTAATTCAAATATAATCAGCTAAATAGACTTCCGCATGCATTAAGGCCGTACTCACACTATGTACAGTTGCCTCGTACTGTGTACTATGTACTGGGCCAAAGCACGCTTGTACCCCCTCCCGTCTCCCCCGACGGCCCGCACTCACATACAATCGGGCCTGGGCACGCTTACGTCATCGATGCTGCGCTGTTCAGTAAGTACTCTCGCTCAGCACAGTGGAGATTTCTCTAGTTATATTGTTTAAGTCGTTTGATATGCAGTGACATGCAGTCTAATATTTCGCCAAACAGTCCTTAGGGATGCGGTGACACACAGTCAGATATTTCGCTGAACAGATCTGCCACTTTTGGCACTCATAAACAGCCATAAAGCCCTCGTGCTGCAGGAATAAGGAGGTTTGCTGAAGGTGCGCACCTGTCGTGCAGTGAGGGGTTTGCGTCTTTAATAAACTATGGCAGTCTGCGTTCATTGAACAGTAAGATTGATTAATAAATCCAAAAGAAACAGTCCCTTAAAAGTCACGTCTCGCTTTCAGTTTCGAGCTTTGGCGCGTTTTGCACTCACATACAAGTGTAACGCGCCAAAGCCCAAGTGAACCGTGCCTGAGCCCGATTCAGTGCACCCACACTTCTCAAACAATCCGGGAAACGGGCCTGGGCACAGTTCGATAGCATAGTTTGAGTACGCCCTTAGTTGCTCAAGCGTAAAATGAGATGAAACGTCGTTTACACGCATGCGCTGGTCAAGATTAACAGGCTAGCGTAGAAGCTCCATTGAATATACTTCTTTAAATTAAATCTTCATATTTGAAAGCCATGGAGTGGGAAAATGTAATTTAATGCTGTGCTTTTTGTACATTTTGAGACCTACTTTATATCGGATGTCACTCCAGTGGAGGTCGCTGATTTTTTAAAAAAACAGACCCGATTTTGTTTTAACGTGGCGATTTTGTAATGGCATACAGGTCACTGGAAGCGCTTATCCCCAGGTTACTGACAAATTAAAAGTTCTCCCACATACTTCCTTATACCCTATTATGCAAATGTTGTTGTGAAGTCATACTTGCATGTGATTTCAGGCCAAATATTCAAAGTACCATGGTAAACAATATAGGGAGCATGTCACAAGTTGTAACTGAACAAATGTATAAATATAAAACCATCTTTACCTCAATAATAATAAAAAAACACATACAGGCAAAGAAAAGACAATGCCTGACACAAAGTAAAATGATCAGCCTGTGCAAGAAAGTAACATTATTTGCAACATTATTTACCTTAAATCCACAGACTTTTTAAGTTATATTTGTCAATCTCATGACTATGATACTAGAATTTAGAAACGTCACAATGGCAGCCTTGCAGACTAAACCAGGCTCATAGCCAGTCTGATAAATGGTATTGTTCTTTTTTCTCAAAAAGTGGCATATAACTGCAAAAAGTATAACTTTTTTGCAGTTATATGCCTCATTTTATATTTAATTATGAGATATAAATACTGCATTTTAGAGACATTTTAAGTATTATTTTGAACTGAGCTCGTTTGTCGGATGGTCATCATAACCACAGCTTTCAATATACCAAAAATATTTTTTAAAGATTAGTTAAGAAATGTGAAATAATACTTATTTATAAAATAAATATGTATTACATCATATATCATTAGAAAAAAAACTGGAATTTATTAAAGTTTAACTCATGGACAACAATAGTCAAAATAAACAGTATTCAAATCAATTTCAATATGGGCCGCTTTTGATGCTTCACACCTTTTTATTGCTCATTTTGGTTTTCAAGAATATGGTCCAAGATTTGGAATAAAAGTTAAAATGTAAAAGTAAAATCATTTCTCTATTTAAAAACAATGCAGTAGTGAAAGATTACTTCACTTACAGCAGATTGTAAAATGAAAATATTTGTTAGCAGTGGCCAAAACTGACTAGCTGAAGTCACAACGAAGTGACAGCCAACAGAGGACTCAGCATGGTCTGAAAGCCTTTTTCGATGAGTTATTTTCAGAATTTATGATGGCATAGCATTCAAAATAGGTAAAGTCTTGATTTGATACATGGCTGTCCGGAAGTGCGATATGCACATCAATATATCAGCACTTTTTATGACACTGTATAACAATAATTATTATTTTTACAGTACTGTGACGGTTGGGTTTAGGGTTGGGGTGGGGGTAGACATTAATAAAATACAATTAATGGGAAATTTAAAAAGTAATATAAATAATTATCGTTAACTTCTGGCCACAACCATAAGGGATCTAGCAACAACTGTCAAAATAGGACAAATGAGCTCATGTATGGGACAGATTCTGGACCTTTGTCAGTGAAGTGTGGGTCTTCCGAACCACCCAAACCCCCATCTGGCTAACGGTCTGTAAACTATTGAGAATTAAATGAATTGCTGTACATATTGGTTATTAAATACAGAGTAAGTATAATATAATTATTAAATGTTTGGTTTTCATGCAAGAAATATTTATTGTACAGCATTATACAGTATTATTTTTGGTAAACAAGGAGTATTAGTCCTCAAATTTAATTTCATAGTCAATGCAAATGCTCAATTTCTGCAGGAAAGTCTAATGCTTTGTTGTTTTCTAATAGACAAATGCACTGACCTTGAAAAGTTTGACAACCTGACATCACTTTAAATATCGTCCAACACATTCCAATTTTGACATTTATTTTCTGCATGCATATCTTCTGCCTAAGCCAGAATTGAAGTGCACAGTTCAAGTGCACTTGTTCTGAACGGGCAGTGAGTCACCTGAATATTACAATCCTCCTGTTCTCACTCGCTGTTGATGACATCATCCTTTTAGACAGCCGTTGAGCTCAGCATTCCTGCACACACTGTTGCTGCACGTCGCAAACTCTGAGAAAGCAATGGCTAATTTCAAGATTAATTGCTGTATTTATAAACACTATACAAGAATATGGTGAGTAACATGAATTAAGGAATAGTTGAAGTTGAAATAGTGTGATTTTTGTCATATATTTGTTTACTAACTTCATCTTTATTCATTACAGACCAGCAACAAACACATTGCCGGCAGGGATTTTAGTTTGCCAAAATGCTGGGATGGTTTTTCAGAAGAGGACGAGGTAGAGACAAATCACTGACTAGAGGAAGAGGATTGAAATAGACTCAAAGTGACTCTGTTTCTACGGTAACTGTGGACGGGGAGGTACGGGAGATGAGAGCGAGGCAAAACAAACGCTGGCGCTGCCTCCGTGGCAACAGCTACATCATTGGTTCTTGTTTCATAGTAAAGACCTGTTAAAAAAAAATTAAATCACAAGAGGCCCAAGAGACACCTCCCTCACAACTGCATGTTGCATCAGAAAGCTCCTACAAGAGGAAGAGCAAAACACACACACACACACAAACACATCACATGCTCCACTTCACTTCACAGCCCCCCTCCTTCCTCCCCGCTCTCCCGCCAAAACATCTCAGCGAGTAAATCCTGCCTAGAAACCAAACAGCTGACTTCTGCCTCTCTGTGATTGGTGCAGCTCCCTAGCAACGGCGTGTGATTATTCAGCCAATCAGGCGCTGACTTTCCAGCACTTTCAGCCAATGGCACACACTCCCACCTCAGCCAGGCAGTAACAGAGACTTGGTAACTGTCCGGCAGAACAGAAACACACTGTGATTGGCTGGATCTGTGCTGCGTCCTCATTGGCTGCTCATGACGATCTCTCAGTCATTCATATGTTTTTTTTTTTTTTTTTTTTGCGGCTGCTCTCTTTTGCCCTGAAGGGAAACACCCACAGCAGAAGGTCAACTTCTCTGCGCCCTGATTGGCCGAGCAACAACGTGGACTCCTAGTAACAAACCACAATTGCTAAAGCAGGGTGTGGTTAGGCTTCTGTCAGTCATCCAAATGCTAGCCAAACATGATGTTGTTGCTGCCGTTCTGATCTTAGCTAGAAGTATTTTATATGACAAACAGGCCTTCATTAGCATAGTTTTTGCACAGGGCGTACAGTTACACACAGACATCACCTAGATACTGTATAACTGCAGGTTAACCATGTGTATATGTAATAACTTCAACTGTTAAAAGCTATTATTAGTTACAAGTTAATTAAAGTAATTAATAAAGTTATGGTAACTAATTACCATAACTTTTCTGAATTCTATTGTAATGGAATAATGTACACCTTTTATAAAGCTGCATTGAAACAATAATTATTGTGAAAAGCGCTTTACAAATAAACTTATGTTTGATTGAATTACTCAAGATTCATACTAAGAATATTTGTTTAGTCATTAATATCTGATTAGACTCACTTTTCTAATATTTGTCTGTTTTTTATATACATATACACTACCTGACAAAAGTCTTGTCGTCTATTCAAGTTTTAGGAACAACAAATAAAAACTTGACTTGTAGTTGATCGTTTGTCATCAGAAGTGGCTTATATGGAAAGCAAAGGCCTCTAGATTACGCTTATTTTACCAAAATAAAATATGATCATGTCTTGATTATTAAATATTTAATTAGGACAGTAAGGTCTGACTTTGCTTGGACAAAAGTCTTGTCACTTAACATAAATAATGTACGGTATATAGTAGAATATAAATTCATGGTGCAGTGGAAGAAGAATGAATATTGTGTATGACTCCCATGAGCTTGAAGGACTGCATCCATACATCTCTGACTTATTAATAAAGTCATCTGGAATGGCAAAGAAAGTGTTCTTGCAGGACTCCCAGAGTTCATCAAGATACTTTGGATTCATCTTTAATGCCTCCTCCATCTTACCCCAGACATGCTCAATAATGTTCATGTCTTGTGACTGGGCTGGCCAATCCTGGAGCACCTTGACCTTTTTGATGTGAAGGCTGAAGTATGAGGAGCGCTCTCCTGCTGAAGAATTTGCCCTCTCCTGTTGTTTACAATGTAATAGGCAGCACAAATGTCTTTATACCTCAGGCTGTTGATGTTGCCGTCCACTCTGCAGATCTCTTGCATGCCTCCATACTGAATGTAACCCAAAACCATGATTTTTCCTTCACCAAACTTGACTGATTTCTGTGAGAAACTTGGGTCCGTGCGAGCTCCAATTGGTCTTCTGCAGTATTAGTGATGATTGGGATGCAGTTCATTCATCTGAAAAAATCTACCTTCTGACACTTTTTTTAAATGATCAACTAGAAGTCAAGTTATTATTTGTTGCCTTTACAACTGGGATCAAGGACAAGACTTTTGTCAGGTAGTGTATGTATTAATATACATATTTATATGTATACATTATATTCATATTTTGAATATACATACTATTTTTATGTACATTAAGCTTTTTTATTAATGTAGTTGTTTGCAATACTGCTTTAAAACAATTTTAATATCTTTCTTAAACTCATCTGCAAATTATTTGATTTCTAATGTTAGTTTTGAGCTGTGTATACCATCAGATTATATGTAATCTACATATAAAACATTTTTATTGTCATTTACAACCTCATAACTGATATAAAGTTGGACTTTTTTGCATTCATGTGTTGTTTTCTTGTGTTAAAACTTTAGATGTGTGCAGAGCAGTGTGTGTGTGATTCCACAATTGAGAAGAATGGGTCCCCTGACGAAAAAGACTGCAGCTCATGGACGGTTCCGAAGACAAATCAGAAGTGACATCATGGCTGTAAGACTGAATGACATCATGCTTCAGGGGTAGACAGATTGATATGTCAAATTTGAATGTGAAGAAACGGGCAAAGAAGTGATCCATCTTCCAGTGATCTGGATAAATTTAATTAGTTTAATGAATAAAGTGTTTGTAAGCTAATTAGATTGATTTTAAATACAGGGATACAGCTGATTTAAGATGTTTAATATATAAGACACAATGGCAGTGATCTAAATCGTGTAACTACCGATATTTAGTGAAACATTTTTATCAAATATATATTTTTATTGAATGTTTTAGTGCAAAAACTTATAAGAAATTTTACAGTGAGTAATAAAATATCCATCAATCATGAAGTTTGAATCCAGTGTTGGTGTGGGATTCCTCGGGGTCGGTTTTCCCCGACAGTCCAAAGACATGCGCTATAGCGGAATTAAAGAAACTAAATTGGCCATAGTGTATGTGTGTGAATGCAATAGTGTATGGGTGTTTCCAAGTACTGGGTTGCAGGGGGAAGGGCATCCGCTGTGTAAAACATATGCTGGATAAGTTGGCAGCTCATTCTGCTGTGGCAACCCCTGATAAATAAAGGGACTAAGACGAAGGAAAATTAATAAATAATAAAACTAAATTAATTAAGTTAATAAATTAAGTCGTGAGTAAATAAACAAACAAATAGTAATAATAAAGGACATAGAATACAAAGTTGTTTTACCAAAATGCAGTGTACATTTTTTTTGTCTAACAGACAAACTTTTAGTCTTAGAGACTTGAAGGTTCCCAGATAATCAAAGAAAGGACTCCAGGTCTGATAAAATAGGAAAGGTTTGTTCTTCAAAGCTGTGGAGAAAGCCTCAAGTGGGATAATACTACCGACTGCCAGCAGTCATTGATTTGAATTAGGTGGGGTTTTCTTTAATCCACTTTACAAGGATACATTTCAGAGCAAATTAAACCAAAGTATGTAGAAGGTCTCTGTTTCGACAGTTATACTTTATATCATCATGGAGACCCAGCAAGTGTTTGCTCCCAAATTTTATGAAACTGATTTTTATTTGTGAAATTAATTTTTTGTTTGAGGGAAAATCTTTCAGTTTTGTGGGTATCGCTGTCGCCTCACATCAAGAAGGTCGCTGGTTTGAGCCTTGGCTGGGTTAGTTGGCATTTTAGAATTTGAAAAGATTAATGTTTTGAATCTAATATCATTTTAAAATAGAGTACGTAATTGAAATCAAATTCAAAATATAAATAATAAAACAAATATTATATGAATACCTTAAACTTAATAAACAAGAACTCTATATAGATCTATAAAACCTAATTTTCTTAAGAAGAAACCGTCAGAAAAGTCTTCAAATAAACTGCATATACGAGTACAGCCCTCACAAAATTTTTCATTCAAATAAATATTTTCTATAGAAAGCTTTACAATATTATATTTGTGCATATACTTTAAATTAGTCAGTAATGAAGCCAAATCTGGAGCTGATCTAAAAATAACAGTCCAAAATTATGTAGCCCAAATGTATATGTTAGGGAAAAAACAACCCAAAATTATTTATTTTTTTTAAAGAGAAACAAAAAATATTCAAAATATAGTTGAAATTTTGTAGTTTGTAATTGTTTGCATTACTTCGATGGACTTTAAATCTATTATTGTTGTATTTCTAAATATGTTCAGTGACTAAAATATTATTTTAATAAATATATGTTTAATAAATCTGTTTTGTTCAAATGCACTAAAATATAATATCCTTATTCACTGAGAAATGCATACAAATCTTAATTTTCAATATGGGGTGTACTTAATCATCATCAGACAAATAGCAGTATACGTTTTATTTAAATGAATATGAAATAAAAAATATGCTTTAAAAATTCAAGCAATAATAGTATCAAATATTTTTTATATATCTTTTAAAGTATGCTTAATATTAAAAACATTATATCAATATTTTAATAATTTATCTTGATGTTTGCTTGGTTATGGTTGTTTACACTTCTTTAATTTTAATTGATGATGAAAAAAAAAGTAGCCAATTAATTTAGTCTTTGAGCACTTTTTTAATACCCTTCCATAACTGAAAAATACTTTACATTTTCTTTCCTTCGTTATAGTAAAGTTGTTTTTGAAATATATATTTTTTAATTTTGGTAGAAAGAAAAAGAAATTTAAAGAATTTAAAGAAAGAAAACAGTAACATAAGTGACCAATAAAAAAATACATACATACACAAAAAAGAAGAGGAAAAACCTACAAACATAAGCACAATAAAAACATAAACTGAAAATAAATAAATAAAACTCCTTGAATTAAATGTAGTTTTGCAGATAATCAAAACAAGTACAAGGGAGGTTTGAAGTAAACATTTTACTCCCTATAACATCAAGAACAATACTTAAGTAGAATAAAAATAAATAACAGGTGACAGTAGTACACCCTTTTTACTTCTCCAGGAAACATATACAAAAGGAAAAAAAATCCTCTTTAGTAAAGTTTCAATAATGAAAATGTTGTGGCAACTTCACACTTCTGTGAAATATTTACGTTCAAATGTGGTAAATGCAGCCTAGAGTACCACAACTACTTTTGCTGATAGACACAATCCCACAATAGTTGCCTTTTTTCCTAATTATTTAGTAAACCTATATGCTCTATGCCTGCATATATAGAAATATACAGGTAAAGTCAAAATGATTTGCCCTCTTTTGTTTTTCTTTTACAATTATTTCACAAATGATGGTTAACAGTGCGAGGAAATTTTCACAGTATTTCTTATTCTACTTTTTTCTTCTGAAGAAAGTCTTATTTGTTTTATTTCGGCTAAAATAAAAGCAGCTTTAATTTTGTAAACAATTTTAAGGTCAATATTATTAGCCCACTTAAGCAATATATTTTCGATTGTCTACAAAACAAACCATCGTTGTACAATGACTTGCCGAATTAACCTAACTTTAACCTAGTTAAGCCTTTAAATCTCACGTTATAGAAGTGTCTTGAAAATATCTAGTCAAATATTATGTACTGTCATCATGGCAAGATAAAATAAATCACTTATTAGAGATGAGTTATTAAAACTTATGTTTAGAAATGTGCTGAAACAAAAATCTTCTCTGTTAAACAGAAATTGGGAAAGAAAGAAAAATACAGGGGGGCTAATAATTCTGATTCATCTGAATTTGCTTGTATATGTTTGTGTGTGTGTGTGTAGAAAACTTGTGGAAATCCCAGACATGATGTCAACAACAGCAGCTCGGCATCAAAGAAAACATTTCTGTCCTGAAGCGGAACCTAAAGGGAAGATGGTGACAGGTGATGTCAGCAAACTGGCATCCAATAGAGTCCCCAGGGATCTCCTGTGTTCAGCCACCTGTATCCTACAAACCGGTGAGTGTGTGTATATGTGTCTGTGTGTGAGCAGTGTTCAGTGAAAGAAACAGATGTCCCACCACCAGCACCTCAGTATACCACATATTCATCCAGCCCAGCTCTATAAATAGAAAAGAAAGCAGTGCACATTCCTGAGCTGTGAGAGAAGCTGTTGGTTTGATTATGTCATGAAGGCATTCCCTGAAAATGACACACTTCAGTTTACAGTGTGTCATCAAATTACTGTAAATAATCTGTTATGTTTTTTGTTTTTTTGACTTAAACTTTATTGTGTTTTTAATAAACATGGTTATCAACAATGGTAATAGCAGAATTCCTCAACATTCACAATATGAAACAAAAATAAACAATTACAAATTATATTCATTGTATATTTATTGTAAATAAATATAAAAGAAAAAAACTATATACATAATGTCAGAGAAGTACATAAACAAAAAAGTGTTTACTAAAATTATTGTAAAACCAATCAAACAGAAAGAAAAGATAGTTTGTGGTCATCTATTTCCTTGTTTCTCCTAAGTCGTTAAATTAAATCACTTAAGTTTTAATAATATAGATCATATTGTCATGTATTTGGTTCCAATGAAGGATTGTTGAAATCTTTGCTCTGTTAATTAAGGCAGTGGACTGTTCTAGTCGAACAATGTCTAAAACATAGTATAACCATTGCTGAACTGACAAGAGATTAGGAAGGAACCAGGAACTGATGATTGTTTTTTTTTTGCAGCTAATAAATCCTGATAAAAAAGTAAATTTTTTAATTAAAGTCAGAGTTACTGAAGAATCAACACTCAATAGGAAAAGGCAAGGTTCAGGATCAATGGTTATTTTCAAAATTACAAGATGGGGAGTAGCTGAATCGACAAGATGGTGGAAACATTAACCCAAAAATTGTAGATTAGGAGACATTCCCCCAAAAATCTGACAATATTTTAAAAGGATTTGAAATCTTTTGTTTACATTAGAATGCTGCATGTCGTGTTTATTGAGTACAGGTGTCTATTCGCAATTTATTTTCACTCATTAAAAGTAGCACATTTGAGGTCAGGTAAATACTGTAAATAATCTGCAAATACATTCATTCGTTCATTTAAAAAAAAAACGTGCTGGATAAGTTGCCGCTTCATTCAGCTGTGGCGACCCCGAATTAATAAAGATAGTAAGCCATAAAGAAAATGAATTAATTATTTAATGATTGCATTTTCAAAAGGAGCATGTGATTATGATTGATCACGGCTGGTCCTGTATTAACTAATGCATGATTCACCAATCAGATGATTCCTAACTCACTATAAATAACCAGGGTTTCTTACCACAGTTATCTTCGCCATGAAGAATCCCCCTGCTCTTCCACCTTTCCCTTTATAGGGCAGCAGGGTTTGCCTCGGCAAAAATGTCACTGGTTCAAATCCTTAACAGGCCAGCTGTCATTCTGTGCGGAGTTTACATGTTTATCCCTTGCTCGCGTGGGTTTCCCCCAAGTTCTCCAGTTTCCCCCCATAGTCCAAAAACATATGTCATAATTGAAATTGATCAATCTAAATTAGCACTACAGTCGAGCTCTTAACCAGCAGTGTATATCTCTACATAGCAATTATAATCTGCTATCAGCTCTTACCTAAGGGGGAGAGCTTTCGAGATCTACCTGAGCTCATACTTCCCTCCCGCCCTGCAAACGTGGAAGCCCTGGGCTCCAGGATCTTATGAGCACAGGGCTCTCACCCAGGACAGCATGCCAAACTGAAAACAGCATTACATTTGACGTCTCTTAATTGCTGTAATTCATCTGCGGATATAGAACAGGGTATCTGCAGAGTCTTAAAAAGTTTTAAAATGGCTTAAATATGAAAAACAAACTTTTAGGCCTTAAAAAGTCTCAAACTCACTGAAATATCATCTTGTAGGTCTTAAATCATTTTAAACAGGTCTTAATTTTCCCTTGTTTATGTAAAGCTACCCAATTGATCCAGCAGATATCCGATCGCCAACAAGACTTTTCAATAAAAATTTTAGCAAAAATAACTAATATTATAAACAGTTATATTAAAGAGGGGCTGCACAGTGGGTAGCATGTTCGCCTCACAGCAAGAGGGTTGCTGGTTCGGGCCTTGGCTGGGTCAGTTGGTGTTTCTGTGTGGAGTTTGCATGCTCTCCCTGTGTTTGTGTGGGTTTCCTCCAGGTGCTCTGGTTTCCCCCACAGTCCAAAGATGTGGTACAGATGAATTGGTTAGGCTAAATTGACCGTAGTGTATGAGTGTGAATGAGTAAAGTTATGCTTTATTGTAATCATCAGGCAATTTGTCTTGGACTGAACGCACAAATAAAAAAGACAACACATTACGGTTACTTTTACATAAAGAAATTCTGTATCGCTTCCCCGATAGCAGAACTTCATACATTAGGAAAAAAGCATGATTTGGTTCATTTGCTGTTACTTTTCTTTTACATTAGAATGCTTTAAATCATGTTTATTGAGGTCAGGCTTCATTTTGCACTTTATTTTCAGTTATAAAAAATAGCAATACCTAAGAGGTCGGTTAATTACTGTATTTAATCTGCAAATGATTAGAAAGGATTGATTTCTTTTACATTGGAATGCTGCATATCATGTTTATTGAGGTCAGATCTCTGTTCTCACTTTATTTTTATTTTAATACAAAAGTAGCATTACATTTGAGGTCTCATAATTACTGTAATTAATCAGCAGATATTTAGAAAAGTTTGGACAATGAATTGTTTTTCGTTTACACTTTATTTACTTTAATTAAAAAAGCATTACATTTGAGGTTGGTTACATTTGGTAATTGCTGTAATTGATCTGCAAAAAGTAATTAGAACAGATTGATTTCTTTAACATTGAAATGTTGAAAATTTCTTCATTGAGGTCAGATCTCAAATTGCACTACTTTCTCTTATTAAAAATACATTATATTTGAGGTCGCTTATTTGTCTTGGAACAAATGTTTTAGCGTCCTCTACTGTTGATATCTTGACACTGCATCAGAATATAAGCACTGCATTTTAATTCTGGGAAAAAAATTTACATTTTTAGCCTTTATTTTTATATTTTTTTTGTCATAGGTGATTTTATTGAAATTGTTTAATATGAAACATGCAGTACAAATACCTTTTCACTGTTCTTTTGTTTTAGATAACAAATAAAACTGTTGCACATATACATTTAGAATATATTAATAATATAAAAATAAAATACAAACAAAAAATAATATTAAGTAAAAGATATTTTACTTTTATATGTATAAAAGAAAACCAAAGGAAAGAAAATATTTTAAAATAATAAAAGATAATAAGGAAAAGTTATACTATTCTAAAATAACCGAAGGGTCCATCATCTTTATGTGATCTAAAACAGGTTGGCAAGTTCAGCCTTTATTAAATCAGGAAATGTTCATTTTTGGGCGAACTACCCCTTTAATAAATAACAACTTATAGTAGCCAAAGAAAAGTTCTTTTAAAAGCCAACTTTAAGTCAACTTTAATAAAAAAATCTATATCATAAATTGCATTTAATCTTAATGTGATTTATCTCATACAGACATTGAACTGAATGTTTTGAATATTTCATAATATAATATTTTCATGGACCTTCTGCCCAATATTACTGAATATGAATTAACATTCAAAAGATATAAACCATCATAAACAAAAAAATAAAATTCAGATTTATTGGAAATTTAAGCAATGTTTTCAAAATCATACTATTTCAAATTAAACTGACAATTAAGCTGATACCTTTTCCATGTTTAATATGCAAGTATAAATATTTAGTAAGGGTTGGATGTATCTCTTGTACATTGAAATGTGCGTTTAATGAGGTCTGATCTCAATTAAAACTTGATTTTCGCTTATTAAAGAACACATTGCTTTTGAAGTAGCTTGTCTTGAAACAAATGTTCTGGCGCCCTCTGTTCTTAATATTATGTCACTGCATGTGAATATCAACATTGCATTTTATTTCATGGACAAATCACTGTAAACGCTCAGCCTTTATCCGAATATATTATATTATAACATTCACACTATATAATGTGGCTGCACGATATTGAAAAAAAATTATATTGCGATAATTTATTTTTCTGCCATAAACATTGCGATATTAATACAGTTTTAGAAGATGGCTTGAATAGCTCTATTCGATGGTTATTTGTGGGGTCTAACAGTATTCAGTCACAGAAATTAAATAATCACAATAAAAAAGTGTTTTTCTCACTTTGTTTTGTCTTGTTTCTAGTCCAAATATCAAAAAATCTTAGACCAAGTAACAGTATTGTTTAGTTTTCTTCGGCAGAAGAAATAAGTCAAAATAGAGTTTTTTTTAGTCGTTTTACGAACGTTAAATGCCCGTGGAGTGAGTGAAATAACCTTGTTTTCACTTTAAAATGTTTATTTTTGGACTAAAAACAAGACAAATTTTATAAATTAGAAATTATTTTTGCATAAATCACATAGACACGGTGATTAAATACAATTCTATATTCTGCTCTTTGTCAACTATAATTCAGACTTAACATCTTTGCAATGTCACTATTGTGGGTGTGCAATGTGCTATGTCGATGCTGAAATGATATATTCTGCAGCCCTACTTTATTATATTAAAATGTAAGCTTAGTGTGACTTTTTAGATAACAAAGAAACTGCAAACAGATTCAATTTAAAAGCATTTACAGTTTAAGTTGACATTTTTCATTGACTACATTGAACATGTACAAACAGACATCACCTATTTAGTGCATGCAGAAAAGTATTCATAGTGATTCACTTTTTCCACATTTTTTTAATGTTACAGCCTTATTCCAAAATGGATTAAGTCCATTTATTTTCTCAACATTCTACACACATTCATTCATTCATTTTCTTGTCGGCTTAGTCTCTTTATTAATCCGAGGTCGCCACAGCGGAATGAACCGACAACTTATCCAGCAAGTTTTTACGCAGTGGATGCCCTTCCAGCCACAACCCTTTTTTGGGAAACA